TATCAATGAAGACATTCGTAATGTCTTCATGTTATGAAGTTAATGTTAATAATAAAGGGCTCTCTACTGGACTGAAAGCTTCAACTCAAAGAGGTCCTCGGTTTGTTCTTCTTCATGCTGGAAGCGAAACTGGTTTTATAACATGGGTCGAATTAACTTTCTTGGTCAACAAAGGAACAGCTGATTACCACGATAAAATTGACGGGGATCTATATGAAGAATGGTTTGAGAAGACGGTAATTCCAAACTTGCCTAAAGACAAAGAAAACGTTGTCTTTTTGGATAACTCGTCGTACCACTCCCGCAAATTTGATTTCCCGAAAAAATTGTGAGTTGCTAAAAAGATTACCTAAAAAGTGAATTACTGAATACTGCGGTCACATTTAGAGACGAGTATGACAAGTACAAAATTAAAACAATTGCGGAAAAATATAGCGTTAAGATTTTGAGACTGCCGCCTTACAACTGCGAGCTGAATCCGATTGAGATGGTGTGGAAACAAGTAGAAAGGTATGTGGCTTCAAACAACGTTGATTTTAAAGAAAAACCGGTAAAACGGTTGATAAAAGAAGCTTACCAACACGTATCTAAAGAGCAGAGGCAAAATTATGGCAACCACGTCAAGAAAATAGAAGAAAAAATGTTTGCGGAGGACAATTTGCAGGTAGGTATTGAGCCGGTGATAATTAATATAGGAGATGATTCAGACGATGAGGACGATTTAGATATGGATTGCGATTAGTAATAATTACTTTCGTAGTATCAATTAGTATTTATTATTGAAAAATATCTCATTCATCTTAGGGTAAACTATTTGCATTTTTTGTATATAATGTATATAAGTATTTTACGAGGTACTAGATATTTTATGTATATAAGGCATTTTTTATAGAACTAATTTATTATTTTTTTGTTTATCCTTTTATTAAACTCAGTTAAAATAATGAGTAAAGATTTTTGAAACGAAGCGCGTACGGTCCTGATTTCTCAGTCTATCGCCAAACTACCACACAAATACCACTGTGCCAACATTAACGGCATCGCTGCGCGCCCTAAAACCAACACTGCATTCTAACTGTGGCTTCTACTATAGCTACTTTTTTATTACCAATGTACATCGACATAAGTACAGGGTTATAAGCGCCACTCGGTATCAAACAATATTTATATTCTATTCATTTTTATGTTTTATTGTACAGTTGTATTGATTGGAAACAACATTAAGTACTAATTTTGTACATTTTCTTTAAAGCACTTATAATCCGACCAAGCGAGAGCTGGCGGGTGACCTGCTCGAAAATAGAAAAGGAATTATTCTAAGAGAGATAGGAGAGGTACTTAATCGCGATTATAGTATATAGTATAGGTACTTAAACGGTTATACACGATGTACACGATGTACATGACTTAAACGGTGAACACTTTTCAATTTCTTCTACGCGCAACCCGCCAGCTCTCGCTTGTCGGGTTATACATGTCAAGGTCAAATACACTTTTTTCTGTTTGTTGTAATTTATAGTGGGGATTGGGTTAGAATTTTGTACACTTAGACTATTGGAACACTTTTAACTCACATTGGACTAAAATATTTGGTAATAGCGTATAATTCCTCTTAACCGGTTCCTCATTTATCCAACGACCGACGGATTAACTATTGGGTATGCTTGTCATGTTGGCCAGTTTAGTTTGCTTCTGCTGTGCTCGTACACCAATAATTCCTTATCAAATAGGTAAAGAGAATAATAAATAAGACTTACAATCAATTTAATTTACTATCTGACGACCGGTTTCGCTTTCTACAATATGCAAAGCATCTCAGGTCTCGATACAAAGTTAAACAAATGCTGAAATAATAAAAACCCATATTAGGGTGTTGTCCAATAACGATAAACAAAGTAGATGTTGTAAATTACAATAATTATGCCAATATTACATGTCTGTGGTTTTATTTAAATGAGTAAGTTGAATAAAAGGTATAAAAATTTTAAAAGTTTAAACAGACAAGGTAAGGCCCACAAATTGTTATAAATAGTCTCTTCGATTGTAATAAATTAACAAATGAGCAATAATATAAAATATAAATAATAAATAAACATTACTTACATGCCGGTACTCTATTAATTGATGGATGGTAGAACATGGTTGAAACTACTATATATTGTTGAATGGAGAACTTAATTCTATTATTGCAGTTGTTTGACAGTAAACGGGAAGTTCTTGAGGAGATAGATTTGATCCAATGAAGAAGAGATATGTGTGTGATTGTTTGTTAAATGAAAGTGATGTAATATATCATTGTGTTATTAAAAGCTATTTATACCCTTTCGAGAGATATATTTTGAAATGTGTGTTATTTATTGAGTAATTGTTTTAAGAAGGTGACAGTTTTATGACAATGAATATGTTTAGATGTAAAATTGTGTGGGTGTGCAATTATTTTCAAACCTGTAGTTATCAAATTACTTTGATAAAGTTCTATTGGCAATTAGTAAATTATTGGAAAGTCAAGTGAATAAAATATATTAAAATACAAACAATTAAGGACAATTCAAACACACTAAAACAGAAAACACTTAGAAGGGACGAAACAAACATTGAATTTAAAAAAGGGGGAAGGGCTTTAATGCACTACATCGTAGTCTTGGGCACAATGAGTTTTTTTATGTTTTATCTATTGGATTTTAGTGGTAAATTTTGACAGATGTAGGTTAGCATGTGACAGTTCTTCTTCTGTTTCTCAATACTGTAAGTTAAGTTATCTAGTTTTATGAAATATGCTGTTATTAATGAATGTCTATAAATTGTTTCAATTTAGATATCAAAAGTAAATTGATGTGTTTAATATTGGCATACTTTAACAATCTTTAATTAATCAAATTTAATGTAACAATATGGATAATTGAAATACATCCTACAATATAACTAACTCAGTCTAATGTCCAAATTACTCAACAAAAGTAATTCTTTGGCAACTGAACATGTACATTTTGTAATCAAATATATAATAAGTTTACAAAGTTTTTTACAAAAACATATTTCCAGTTTATTCCGGCTATTCTTCTAATGTCATCAACCCATCTCATCTGTGGTCTTCCTCTTGGTCGTTTACTTTCGTAAGGTCTCCAATGTTGTATTGTAGTATTCCAATGTTGGTCTTTCTGTCTAGCAGTGTGGCCCGCGAAGCTCCATTTAAGTTTTGCAATTTTTATTGTTATGTCCTCGACTTTTGTTTTGGATCTTACCCAGTCGTTCCTTTTTTTATCTGACAGTCGTATACCTAACATTGCTCTTTCCATTGTTCTTTCTGTTGTGGCTAGTTTATTCATGTTTGCCTTGGTTAGGGTCCAGGTTTGACATCCATATGTCATGATAGGAAGGATGCATTGGTTGAACACTTTGCTCCTCAAGTATTGGGATATTTTGCGATTCTTAAGTATCCAACTAAGATTTCCAAATCCTGCCCATGCTAGTCTTGCTCTTCTAGTAATTTCCGCACTTTGGTTCTCTTTGTCAAGTCTCAGGATTTGGCCTAGGTAGATATATTCCTGGATTTGTTCTATCTCACTGCCGTTTATAGTTATATGTCTGGGGTCTTCTGTCTTTGTCATTATTTTTGTTTTTTTCATAATTAATTTTTAGGCCGACGTATTGGGAGCTGGCTGCTAGTTCCCCCAACATAATTTGCAGTTCCTCGAATGTGCTCGCTATAATCACTATGTCGTCAGCGAATCTAAGGTGGTTTAACTTGTTGCCATTAACGTTAATGCCATAGGTTGACCAATTTGTAGTTTTGAAGACGTCTTCTAGGGCTAGGTTGAAAAACTTTGACGATATTACGTCTCCTTGTCTCACTCCTCTCTTAATGGGGATGGGATTTGTATTTTCGTCTAGTTGTACTATCATAGTTGCATTTTCATATATATTATGTACTAGTTGCCTATATCTCGAGTCTATTCTACAATTATTAATAGCTTGTTCTATGGCCCACATCTCGATACTATCAAACGCCTTTTCATAGTCGACGAAGGCAAGAAATACGGGTAGTTGGTATTCATTTGCCTTTTCTATCAATGTTCTCATTGTCAGCAGATGGTCTGATGTACGGATTTGCGGAAGCTAAAAGTTCTACATTTTGACAATTCGTACTACGTTTGCATTTGGTAATAAACAAGACTCTAGCAAAAGTCCGAAATCGATTCTACTGGATGAGATCGAATGTCGCTCGGATGTTGAGAGGTAGTGCCGTGAATCTACAGAATGTGCAGCTGATTAAAGTCTTAGAACCAGAAACCAAAGCCGGTTGAGGCAATATTTAATCGGAGCTCCTTTCGAAAAGGTCGCTGTGAATAGCGAAACTGTTACAGTATCTCATAACCGGTACATTTTAGAGGCCATGGATTATTTCAGTAAATGGCCAGAGGCATATGCTCTTCCTGATCAAGAGACCCCGACAGTCGCTGAAGTACTGGTTAATAATTTGTTCCGTCGTTTTAGAGTAGTAAAAGAAATACACTCCGATCAAGGCCGAAATCTTACATTAAATCTGTTCGAGAAAATGTGCCAGATGCTGGGAGTTGTGAAGACTAAAATCACACCTTTGCAGCCTCAGCCGGATGAAATGGTGAAGAGATTCAACCGAACTTTACTTCAACATCTTCGAATTTTTGTCAATGAACATCAAGATAACTGGGACAAATAATATATCCAGCTCTTCCTTCTTGCATATCGAAGTTCCATCCATAAGTCGACAAGCGAAACACCAGCGAAAGTTTTATTTGGAAAATAGTTGAGTTTTGCTGCTGATCTATTATTTGGAACTAATGAACTCCGTAAAGAATATAACGATAGTGTTATCTTTAGGTACATAAAAATTTCAGAAATAAAAAGTTATATTGGCACATTTGAATGTCCAAAAATTATATAACTGCATTTTCACATTTTCAAAATAAATAGTCGATTTTGATCGATTGGTTTAATTATTAATATATACTCATTTTTAGAAAAAATTAACGAAATATTGCAAGTTAGAACTGGTACTTCCACGTATGAAGATACATATAGTAAGTTTGGCGAATTTGCTATACGAAATCAAATACATGGCAAAATAAAATATCCAAAGTAAGGAAAGAAAGGGTACTAGGACAATAATATTAAATCGGGAATAAAGCATATTAAAAATATAACGGTATTTATTTTGTTTGTATACTTATTTGCTGTTTTGGCTGCTGATTTGAAAGTTTTAGAAATAAAGTTAAAATTAAAAATGAACTGCCATGTACGACGTACTACTTTATACATATTTTTCTTTTACACGTTATTCTGGAGAACTTTGATTCTATAAATGATCTTGCATTCTTCTTCCTCAGTCTACGTACAACCCAATATTAGTTACCCAGTCTATCTATGAAATCCTTAAAATCCACCTATAATACTACATCTCGAAAGTTTCGGGCTTATTAACAGAAGCCTTTATATCCAAATCGTAAAATGTAAAAGTTATATATCTGAATAGTGTTTAAGTGGTCTTATAACCTTCTAGATGCTTCCAAAGAATTTTTGTGGGACGAGAGGATGACAGTGTCATCACAATAGTTTCTAAGGAGCAAACGTGTGTGCCACACTTTATTAAAAGCTTGTCTGGGCACTCCAAATATGTATCTATGAATATTTTCCTCTTCTTCTTGCTATAACTCAGAGAAAAATGGAATAATGGTAGTTTTCAGGTACCCGCGATCAGTAGAGAAATGTCATTAATAGAAATATCAGAACTGCTGAAGCTCAAAGATGAACCACAATAAAATCTACTCTGCTAAGATATTAATGGATATGATGATGATGATGAGTTTTCATGTATTGTAGTTGGAGAAATATATTTTCTTTTTGTTTTTTTTTTGTCAGCAATACTGCCCAATGTCGCAATGTTTTGATAGGTGGTATACCTATGTTGTTTTGGTGGTACAAATCTTCTAGTAGTCTTACAAATGTCTAAATATGTGGTTTCTAATCGTGATAACTCTCTCAGATATTTTGCAGTTGATTTATTTTTCGTTAATGTTAACAATTTCCATTTATTTTGGCCCTCTTCATTTTTTTGCATTCCTTTAATCTTTAAAGAGGTTTTAGTATAATCGTTGATTGAATAACCCAAACGTTTGGGTTTTTCAATCAACGGTATAATGTACCTACATCACACCTTCGTTCCCTCAAATTTTTATAGTGTTTTAGATGCTCTAGCATCGAAATTAAGTAACATAGAAACAAAACATTTGAGAAGATGTCTAAAAAAACATACATACATATACAAATTAAATATTATGATTTTTAATGTGAAAAAATAAACTTAACTGCGATGACAAAGAAAGATAAGAATACACTTAAAAATATACCTGCCTGTTCTTTTATCTGTTCTAATGCGATTCTCAAATATCCAGCCGAAAAGCAATTTGTGGACTCGAAATCTAACAAAACAGATATAGAATAGCAGGACTTAAATAAAATGAAAATTAACTGATAACAAAAATAGAACCACAAACGCAGTAAGAAGACTACCACTTCCACAGATAACATCACAAGATAGCATCAACCAAAATGTGAAATGAATTTACAAATAAAATATGCTTAATTTTTTCAGCAGCACAAAACAGAATAAATCACTATTACCAACCAAGGAACCAACAAAATTGGTTTTAAAGATTGTCTTAATTAAAGCCAATTAAGTAAATAAAAGCTAATTATTAAATGTAATATTACGATAAGAGTAGTACAGTAAAAAATTGCGAGATATGCAACTAACATTACTTGTTCATTTCATATGTTGAAAGCTTTTTTGATTGAAATAATATTATCATTGCTAGTCTATTCAAAGCAATTTTAAAGATTATTCACAATTTTATTTAAATACCATAATTGTTACCTTTGGTAATTATTATTTTTTTAAATTGAATTAAGTTCATGACGTCATACTCACTTTCAAATTCTTTCTACAAGTCAAACACGTCAATTGACGTTTGTTACTATTTTCTGCCATCGTGGCCGGAGCTGTCACTGACGAGATCCGAGTGCGTGATTTGGGGAGAACTTGGAATTCTTTTACTGTCGACGTAGCTTTGAAGCACAGTTATAGTACTGTATTCTCATATAAATCAAAACGTAAGTACTCAAAATAATTAAACAAGTTAATGAATTAAAGAGTTCACATTTGTTCCTCACTTTTAGAACTATGGACCAAATTGCAAAATTCGTTGAGCCTGGAAAACAATTTGCCAAAGACTCAATTAGATTAGTTAAAAGGTGTACAAAACCAGACAGACGAGGTAAGACATTTGGTTATATTCTTGAACAATTTTTTGTTAAATATATCTCAACTGGAAAATGTGTTCAATCTTATTAGCTTATTTAAATACTACTTGAGCATTTTTCCAATTTATGTATACAATATGGGGAGATTTTGTGACTGGAAATAATGTTTGTATTGTTAAATGTAGTTTGTAATTATTGTAGGACTTAAGAAACATTAAACAGCTAAACAATAATTTATATGAAATGTATTTAAGCCTACAGTTCATATAAGTTTACTCTTTAATTATTATATATTAGTAGGTACTCTTATTATTAATAGATTTGTTTTATACCTAGTTATTTGTTATTAGTGCTTTTTATTTTGTGTTTTTTCATTGCCATATGGGTGGCTGCCAAGTTTCTGTTAAATAGGTTATAATCTCTTACTGTTTATTTTGGTAATAAACTGACACTTTTGTATCTTCATATAAAATGTTTTCTATGGTGTTTCAAATCAAATCTATTTTTATCCTAGTATATTCAACTACCACCCTGTCATGTTTAATTTAAACAAAGTATAGATCTGTAATGTAGGTATTCAATTCATACTTTCTTTAGTGTGATTTGGTTAAGTAAGTGAATGGGCTTTTTGAGTGTGATATTTCAAAATACATTAGTTGACAATTCTTCAAAATTTGTAGTAGTTTTAAACTTAAATATTTGCCAAAGAAATTAAGTTATTATTCAAAAGTCAAAGTAGCACATCCATTTTACAAGAATAATAATAACAAACTGACTAAATCATACACTTCGGCGAGGATTTACAGCAAAATACACATGTTCTATCCTGTTGCATGGACTTCTGTTGTATTTTGTGGAAAAATGGTTAAGTATAATATGTCTTTTTTCCATAATATAAGATTAATTAGAGACGTCTCAGCATTTCTGTTGTTTCTTATTTGAGAATATCAAACATAATTTTGCTAAAATCTCAGTTTTACTAAAATTTGGACTGTGATTTTTGTAAAACACACCTTAATTGCATTTATCATAATATTTCTCTGCATTTTCTCTTATTCTTGTCATTTTTTGGGTTTAGAATTTATTTGTAGTTGTACTGCCATGGCCATTAACTTATTGATCAAAACCAAACAGTTTACAATAGAATTATTACAAAATTCTATAACAGTTCTTAGACTAGTTCAACAGTTAAAAATTCCTATCATAAACAAAACTAAAAAATAATGCAAGTAGACATATGAGAAGATCTTAAAAACCTTTCTTAAATTTATCAATTTTCAAATCAAAAAACGTTAATTTGTTTATTATTAAAAGTTTGCACCATAATTATTACTATGAAAAGTACAAAGATGTTAAACTGTCTGTTTCTGGATAGAAGAAGCCTTAAATTAAGTAGTGTCAGCAGCCACTATTGATAATAATAGCAGTTGTAATAACCTTCCATATGATAAAAGAGGACCAAACAATGTAACATTTATCCAAAAAGGGTACCCTAAACCAGTTATCAGAACTCTTAAGTGATAATTGAAAATTCCTCAGTAGATCTCTGAATAAAACTAAGTATCTTTATGTTTTTTTTCTTCTGGTGCTGTTTCTTGTTATAACTAGTTATACTGCAGTCAATTGGCATATTGTATGTCTTCCAATCATGTAATCTTCTGGCTTAGGTTGTGATCTTTTTATAGTATGTAGTCTGTAGTTGTGTATGTGTTATATATTATTCTTTATTATAAAGATGTATCATTGATATGTATACAGAGGAAAAACCTGAACATATTATATGCAACTGTAGTGCAATTGTTTGTCAACACCATTAATATCTGGAACAAATGTTTTTAGAATCTGACCAGGCAGTAAATATCTTTTATTTTTCACTTGCATATCATTTGTTTATTTTGGCTTGGATTCAGTTACTATAAACACACTTGTTATATTGTATCGCATAAGTGGGAATAATGGCCTATGATGTCCTGTTACATAAAAAAAAGCAAATGTTATAGAACAAAGTTTTTTTATTTTACGAATTTTGAAAGGAGTAAATATAGAACTAATTTTTTTTAACCTTAACAATCTTATATTTAAAGTACAATTTTTTAATAATGAATATAAATAAATGGAATAAATCCATAACTGAATATAAATCCAACTGTCATAGACTACTTCAAACAAGTAAAAACTTAACAATAATAGTTTTTATATTATGTGTAGTGAAAAATAAAATCTTGTATGTACCACTGGTGTTACCAGATGATTACACCCACCGAGCAACATTTATCTCTCGGGTCGAAGGCCCTCTGGCTGGATTATTATTGCTCTCTGGCTGTAATCATCGTATTAATATCCTTGGTGCATAAATAGCTTCTGTAAGGATAATAATTCTAAAAGGGTAATAAGCTTAGAAGCCTGGATATGTTGGACTAAATGGGCATATTCAAAATATCTGTCTGTTACTTCAAAGAGCTTGCTTTAAGTGTTTCAGAATCTTTTTTAATGTTGTCTTTCATTTCATTAGTTTTGTTAGATTCCTTAAGTTACAGTGGATACTTTTTTTCTTTCAAAAAAAGGCGGTATCTCTGATGCAAGTATTTTTTGACACAATCATTATCATGATTTAATGATCTCTTTTTTTAATATTTATTTTGTGATTTTAATAGTAATTCAAATATCTGTATCTTTTATAGATATTAAAATATTCAGAAATAGTAGTGTTATTTTTCTCTTCCATGGTAAATTATTATGCACAATACTAGTATCATCATTTTCTAGTTTGGTTATTAGTATTTTTAAAGTTTCGTCTCTAGAGGCTCATTTGTATTCCCAAAAAATATAAAATATTTAGTGTTAAACATGCCAGAAAGGAAATAGTTTCAGAAACAAGTTTT